CCCCCCCCCCCGGTACTTTCACAGTTGGTGCCTCCGGAAAGTACAGAAAACAGACGAATGCTGTTGTAGTCCATCAAAAGTTGGATTTCTTCGTCCCTATGTAAAGAATGGACCGAAGATGCTTCGAAGGGTTTTGTCACCTATATCTTCTTTGAAGTCTAGGTGTCTTATGAATCTGGTCTGTTGGAATAATTGTCAAGATGCAAAACAAAACAGAATTTTGTTGGCTCCTTCAATATAACTTAGTAGCAAATATGCCCTTCTATGTGTCAATGAATCCACTGGATGCCACTTCAATAAAATATTCATCACTTCATCCAACAAAATATCAGAATCTAAAAAGTGGAAAGTAACTAGCATACATTTTGCAGCGCAAAACTCAGTATAGTAACAGAATGTTTTTTGAACTAAGTTATTTAGAAGCTATTAGTTCAAGTTTACATGAAAAACAAACATGTTGAACTCTTCTCAAGCATCTGAAGAAGAGGCAAGATAGCACTCCCATCACAAACAGGTAAAAGAAAAACTTATTCTGCCATTTAACCACGTAATGTCCCAGTAATTCAACATTGGAAACATAATAGAAACTTAGTCAGCTGCGGTAAAGTTCACAACAATGAAGTTATTTACCGAACAAATATTGCAACGGAAAAGTAAAGTACAAGCTGAAAAAATAACTCAAGAGTATGCGGTAAGAAACCTCTTACTTGCTCTGTTAATCATCTGTGTTGGGGTAACAATGCGGGGTTCAGGCCCTAGTTCAGCCTCTATGCCCTTTGCCAAGGATACAATGACTGGAGCAGTAATTCGTTCCTTCCAATACCGACTAATTTCTTGAAATACTTCCCTTGTTTCTGTTGATGGCAAGCCATTGATGACAATATCAGCATCCCACACAGCCTCCTGCAAATTGGTGACAACCTTTAAAGGGCAAAGTGGCGTGTCAATCATATTCAAACAAAAGCCATCTTTCAAAATCTCATCGGCATGTAGTGTCCTATCCCCTAATCGTGCCTCAACATACTTCAAGTATGCACACCGTCTTATTAGCCTCCTTAACACATCTTCCCTTGAATTGATGACCTCAAATAAATGCTCAGCAGTAGCTTTATCAACGTCTCGTCCAGCTCTCCTCCATATTCTAATCTGCACTTTCTCGCGAAGATTACCATACGCATCCTGCAACATTGCTACAAAAACACTACCCCATGCTCCTGCTCCAACACCTACAATTCTCAATGGATCACCATCTGCTTTTCCAAAAAGTCGACGGAGCTCATCAACCTTTTCCTCCACAGAACCATTAGTACTTTGAAGCCCATTCGAGTATACATGACTTGTTACTTCTTCCCCAGATCCAACCATCTTATTTTCTGGTATTAAAAGTTTCAAACTATTCGCAATATTCCAACAACTCAATATGTTAATCAATTGCAAATACACAAACTTGAACTCTTCTCAACCAAATGCATAAACAAGAAACAGCAATTTCACCAATAATCTGAACTATCAAAGCTGAGAGTTTTTAGTACAAGATCTAGTAGTCGTTTGGATCACCCCCTAATTTCATTACACCAAAATACCCAAAATGCAGAATAGCATACAATTTTACACATGGGTTTTCAAGAAAAAAGAGACAGCTTTATCAAAATCGCAAATCTTCAGCACTCTGATGACCACAATTGTTTGTTACACACGAATCATTAAAAAAAAAACAATAAATCGATTGATTTTTTTTTTCATTTGGGTTTCATCTGAATAACATAGATAATTCAGCTAGAAGGAGTATTAATGGATCACAGAGTAAAAAAGAACCAAACTTTAAAACCTCCGTCAACTGCGAAGACAACTTGGGTAAACAACCCCCTTGTCCTAATAGTCCAAAAGAAGGCGGCAACAGCTATTGCGGCTATAGCTCCTGTGGGATAGCTTCTAGAAATGAGTTGGCAAAATTTTGAAAAGCGTGAAAAGCATGGATTTTGGAAAGGCTAGTGTCAAATGTGAATGTTAATAATGTTATGCAATTTTGTTCGTCTGCTTCCTAGAAGTGGGCTGTGTGGCCAACGCGGCAACCTGGCCTCACTGTCTTTTGCCTTTTTTCTTTACTTTTCAATAACACCCAGGCAATGAAAATTAGTTAATTGAATAAATTAAAGTATTACTACTATAAAATAATAAATGTATAAGAACAGATAGAGATGCTAAGAACAGAGAACGAGACGATAATTCAGTGAATGAGGTGTCCTTTTATTTTATTTCATGTTTTACACAACCAACCTTCGTTGTATCTGTACATGAGGCATATGATGTACTTGTAGATAACCATAAGGGGATCAACGCCGGTTAGACCCTAAAGCAAGTGAAGTAATTGATTTAGGCCCCAAGAATTTAAAGGCCCCAAAATTACTATTTTTTTATATGTAATATATAATTTATATAATTATCGCTTATTATTAATAAATTTATTTCTTTGTTTTCATATGAATATTGATTTCTTCCTATGATTAGTATAAACTCTATTGTCATGTAACTATATTTAATAATCTAACTTATCAGTTATTTTCCTCACATAAATTATACTCCCGCCGTCCCAATTTATATGAAGGTGTTTGACGGGCATGAAGTTTTTTAAAAAAAAGACTTTTGAAATATGTGATCTAAACAAATCATAGAAACTTGTATAGCTAGAAATATCTCATTAAAGGTAAAGAGAAAAATTTACTGTTGAATATTACCAAATATAGAAAGGCATTCTTTTTAGGGCAAACTAAAAAAGAGAATGTCAAACAAATTAGGATGGAGGGATAATGTATTCTAGGTTCTCGCATTTTAGTTGTGATGCAATCAAGGTTAAATTCATTCAATATTTTGTACTTTATAAAACCAAGTTCTCATTTTTTTTTCATTCAACGCTTGTCTAATTTTTTAAACAACGATGCTCATTAAATATATAGTATGTATTTATTTAAGGCCTCTTATTAAGGCTTTGCTTTAGGCCTCGGATACTATTGAGCCGCCCCTGAAGGGGATTAGTATAGAGGGATTTTCTCTGTATACTAGTTAGTTCTTAAAATGAAGATGAATTTGTTAAGGGAAATTTTCGTTCCTATACCATATAGGAAATTATATTACCAAATATGTTCATAGTTTGCATATTACCCTTCATGCTAATAGTATTTCTACATAATATATACAATGCATTAAATAAGGAATCATTATAGCTGTAGGATTCCTTATTTAGTTGAGCTAAAAAGGGGGAATTAAATATTTTCCAGATCTTCCAACGCAAATCACGCACAGTAATCACTATCGTCTACTTCATTACAAACTTCCAGTATTCTGTTTTTTGCGCTAAACTCTGTTTCAATATTTTCTCTAATTTCACAAATAAAAATCGGCAAAATCTTCTACAATTCTTCTGCAACAAAAGCAATTACAGCGAAAATACCAATTATGCTACAATCGAATGGGAATTGGGATAGCTATGGGAGATTTAGAGAATTCGAGGTCGATGGCATTGTAGTCGATGACGATGCGACTTATAGTCTATTGATTTCTACAATAGCACAGCAATTAATGATTGATACATCCGAAAAAATTATAGAAATCAAATACATTGTCAACGAGCATTGTCTTCCAATTGAAATTAAGAACGATATGGGTGTTCGTGTATACATGGAGACGAAAAAGGAAAACAAAAACTTAGGATCACATCCGCTATGTATAATTGTTCGCGATTTCAATATGGAATTGAGTATCACCAATGAGAACATNTATATATCAGTATGAATTTCTGTAATATCTACAAAATTTCTATATTTATTCTACACTAAAACTACAAAAAAATTTGAAAAATTAATATGAAATACTGAATTTCAACCTTTCTACAGATTATCTACAAATTTTATACAAACTGGTGATAACAATATTTATATTTATTTTCATGCAGGTTCATCTAGAATGCTAAAGTTACTTGATATGCCAACATCTCCCGTTATAGAGGAATACGAAAGTATAATAATAACAGATAGTACACCAAGTTCTATTGAAGTGGGACAAGTATACCAAAACAAGGAAACAATTGCAACTGCAATGAAGCACTATTCTCCCATACATAAGTTCCAATTCAGGGTTAAAAGATCTAGTGCTAGAAGGAATGAACATATGAATAGTCAAATATTATTATTTTTTTAATTTTGTAGTTTATTTGTAATTTTTTACTTCTTCAGTTTTCCTTGTGATAATGTTTAGCAGAATTGTAGTTATATTGTATTTATTATAGTATAATGTGATTGTTTAAGCTAAAACAAGTTTTTTTTAATCTAAATGTTAACTCATTGTTTAAAATGTATTTATTTTGTAGCTACTGGATGATATGTATTGGTGAAAACTGTACATGGCACTTCAAGGCAACTAGCATAAATGATTCTGCAATGTTCAAGGTCAGAAATTTCGACAAACAGCACACATGCTCTTTAATGGACAATACATTCATACAACGCAAACCTACTGCCATGGTAGTTGGTAGCATGGTTATTCCAAAATATTCTGATCCTAAGACAATTTACACCCCAAAAGACATTCAATTTGATATGTTGTCTGAACACGGTGTGAATCTAACCTACATGCAAGCTTGGAGAGCAAAGGAAAAGGCTTTACAGTTTTTGAGAGGTCATCCTGCTGACTCCTACAGCAAATTGCCTAGTTATTTGTATATTCTAGAAAAGACTTGTCCGGGGTCTGTAGTTAAATTGAAGAAGACAGACGATGACTGTTTCTTGTATGTATTTATTGCGATTTGTACGTCAATCAGTGATTGAAAATATTGAAGACCAGTTGTAGTAGTTGATGGGACCTTTTTTAAGTCAGCGTACAAGGGAATAATGTTAACAGCCAGTACAATGGATGCAGCAGGTACTGAAGTTTCATTAGTAGAAATATTGTAGCTTGTATTTTTTTTAGTACTTGCAGATTAATTAAAGATATATTGTAGTTTGTATACATATGTCTTCTTCTGCATTTTTACTGCAGCCAATTAATTGTTTATTGCCATATAATATAGGTACCATATTACCATTGGTATATGTTGTTGTTGATTCAAAGAATGACGCATCATGGAAGTGGTTTTTTGAGCAATTCAAGCTCGCGTATGGTGAAAGAGAAAACATGTGTGTTGTTTCGGATCGGAATGAGAGTATCTTGAAGGCAACATCTATTATTTTTCCCGGCATGCCACATTATTCATGCATGTGGCATATCTGGACAAATATATAGTCAAAGTTCAAGAAGGGACATCTTAAGCTTATTGAATTATACTTTGCCACGACGCGGTCAGACATACTTGATGAATTTAATGAAAGGATGTCAAAGATTGAGGAGATTGACCCCCGTGTTAAAGCATACTTATACGATATTGGATATCATAGATGGTCTCGAGTACATGTAACGGTGAGCAGAACTTGGACTATGACATCAAACATTGCAGAGTCGTTGAATGCTGTAACAAAATATGCAAGAAAGCTACCGATAGTAGAACTATTAGAGTATATGAGGACCCTTCTTGAACGTTGGACGAAAGAAAAATTATTGAAAGCAAAGGGTACATTAACATACATTGGATACAAATTCAACAAAGAGTTGGATGACAACAAAACATTGTCGCACAAGCTTAGAGTAAGATCTGATTATTTATTGAATCAAATTCATAAACAACACATTGTAGTTTTTTTGTAGATATTTTGTATATAGCTTGATTTTAACCATATATGAATTGTTTTTTGTTTGTAATGTACTCGTAGGTGAGGGCTTCAACAGACTACATCCATACAGTAATAGATGGTGTGAGGCGCTATATTGTTTGTCTTGAAAACAAGAAATATAGTTGTGGGCAATTCCAGCTTGATGAACTACCTTGTCCACATGTTTTGGTTGTTTTAAAACAAAGGGATGAGTCCTTTGAAGAATATTGTTCTCCTTATTACACAAGGGCGAACCTCTTGCGTACGTATGAAATACCAGTAAATCTGCTGCCTGATGAAAGCAAATGGAATGTGCCATAACATATAACTGAAGAAGTAGTAAATCCACCTAAAGGAGGGAAAAGGCAGCCAGGAAGACCTCAAAAAGAAAGATACAAAACATATGATGAAATAAATTCAAAGAAGTACAAAGTTTCATGCAGCAATTGCGGAGGAGAAGGGCATAACAAAAGATCTTGCAAGAATGCACCCAAAATGAAATAAAATTCTATGTAGTTAACAGAATATTTGATGAAAATTTGTTGGTTAGTTCTGGAAAACAGATGTTGATGTGTAATCGTTGGTTTTTTTAAAGATCATAATGTAGTTAGTTAGGATGTTTCTATAATGAGATAATACTTTGATATATTGATTTGTTTATGAATGTTTTCTATATATATAATCTATAACTTTTTTACTATATATGGAATCCTTTACATAATTGTTAATGTGTTTTTGCAGTTTATCTACAATAAAACTACTAAAAAAATACATTATTGAGAATTTACAGAGTATATACATTATAAATTTGTAGGAAAGTAGTTAAAAACCAAGTCATATTGTAGATGAAGTATTGTTTACATTCAATAAAATAAATATAAAAGAAACAAAACACATTGTTATAATAATCTACAAAATATCTACAAATATCTGTAGCTGACATAATATATAGATTAAAATTCTGGTAGAAAGAAGCTTTATGGTGGAAATAATGTAGATCAGAATAACTATATAAAATTTCAGTTGGAAAGGATTTAAATGCTAAAAATAATGAAGATCAAGTATTGTAAAGATTCAACAAGTGAATATAAACCCAACAGAATGTTTCCATTTGAACTACAATACTGGATAAGGAAAAAAAATAAAGGCTACTATAATTGTAGCACAAGTCTGCTACAATTAAAACATACTAAAATGTTCAAAAAATTGTCTACCATCTTTCTTATAAACTAGCATCAACTACACAATTGTACTACATGTTCCATTCAAAAGATTACAACTACTTCTTCTTTCTCTAGACTCGTGTTTTCTCATTCAAAGTTGGTGCACCTTTCCTCCTTGCCAATTTGCCCGTCACCTCATTATCACTAATTGCCCCAAGCTCCTGCTTCTTTCTAGCATAGTCCCAAAGTAGCACTCCATAGCGTCTACGGTGTTGGTCAATATCAGAAAGGTCTTTTGGGGGAATTGATAATTCTCCAATACTAACATACTCTGCAAAGGCAGCAACAAATACACCACAATCGCTGCAAAAAGATAACAAAATGTCAATATTTACCAAACCATCAGAAGAAAAAAATGTTAAATATATAGAAAGAAAGAAGATTTTTATTACAGTGATCCTTCTTTTTGCTGTGGTATCTCTCCGACTATCCACTGAATATTAAGAGGGTCGGTAACAACTTTCTCAATGTATGCTTTTGTATTCTTGAAGTTGATGTCTTTCCGCTTCCCATAAAACCCGGTGCATGACAAATACAAAGGGATAATAATAGAAAACTTATCGATACAAGATTCAACAATAGGGTGATTGTGTGAAGAAACCATGGAATCATACGCATAAAGACACCTTTCTGCAATGTCATAAGCAACCAACACCCAGTGAAATTTTTCTACAATGTTGACGGGCATGATGACACAATCAACTTCATCCCATGCAATATTTGCGAGTAGTCTATATCCCAATATATATTCTGCTACAACATCCTAGGATTTGACTACAGAAAACTTCTTTTTTTGAGGAGAATTTTTGAACTTTTCATAAATCTGATCAATCCTAGTCTTGAAAACACAATCTGTTGTAGTAAATCTGGTGTTGTTGTGGGGCCATACTTGCCTCTTTTTCTCAAGTAATACATTATAACATTAATGTGCTGCAACAAAAATAGATTTCATTTATACTACATGTTATCGCAAAAAATTCTACACAAAACTACAAATTATCTTCAATACATCTACAATCAGAATACAAAGCATCTATTCATTCAGAAAATACAAAGTATCTACAATTTATCTACAAAAAAAACTACAAATTAAATACATTAAATAATATCGAGTCGTTAATGACTTGTCCTGGGTGTGCAAGGGAAAAAAACCACTCCTTCTTGTCAACATTTTCAACTCCAAGATCCAACCATGACTTAATTTGGTTGTCCTTTATAGAATACGGAGCCTTCCTCCTATATAAACCAATAGAAATTAAAATAAAATTGTTGAATGAAATGGATGTGTAAAAGATGAATACAGGAATATAAGTGTTAAATTGTGCAACCTAACCTCTTTGAACGTGTGTGTAGACACGTGATTTTTGACCCTCCCCGAGAATTTTCACATTTTTAGCGTGAATATGTGAA